TATGCTGAGATTAAATACAAAAGGTTTAGAGAAATTTTGTTTTGATGCTTTAGAAAAGCTGACATCTGTAAATTACAATCCTTTGTGCTATCTATATGATTTTTGTCATCAGTTACAACTTAGCAAAATGGCTATTAGATATGAATGCTATTTCTAATGTTTACAGCAACTCAATATTTCCATATTATTATTTTTTTTTTTTACAATTTACCTTTCTTTTTTTTTATTTTTTATTTATTTTTTTTATTTTTTTGACAGGCAGAGTGGACAGTGAGAGAGAGAGACAGAGAGAAAGGTCTTCCTTTGCCATTGGTTCACCCTCCAATGGCCGCCGCGGCTGGCACGCTGCGGCCGGCACACCGCGCTGATCCGATGGCAGGAGCCAGGAGCCAGGTGCTTCTCCTGGTCTCCCATGGGGTGCAGGGCCCAAGCACCTGGGCCATCCTCCACTGCACTCCCTGGCCACAGCAGAGAGCTGGCCTGGAAGAGGGGCAACCGGGACAGAATCCGGCGCCCCGACCGGGACTAGAACCCGGTGTGCCGGCGCCGCTAGGCGGAGGATTAGCCTAGTGAGCTGCGGCGCCGGCCCAATATTTCCATATTATTACCTCTACTCTCCAAATGAGGAAAATGAGTCTCAGAGAACCGAAGTAATTTGGCCAAGATCACACAGCTAGTAAAAAGCAGAGCCTAAGCCTGCTTTACTTCAAAGCCTGTGCTTTTTCATTAACACATTTTTTAACAGCACTTTCACAAATATTATCTCATTTGTATAGCGCACCAAAATTGTGAAGTTGGCAGAGCTGGGTGTTCTCTTTTCTCAGCAGGCCACTCACTGCTGCATCTTCCACTTCCATACGCCCACCTTCCTCCCCGTCCCAGTGAGGGTCTACTACTGCCCCTGAAGCAATCAGCAACCCTATAAAGACCATATTACCTCCATGATCTAATTTAGACATTTAGAAGCAAGCCTAAGCATCAAAATTATTACTGTGCTTTTACGTGATTTTTAAAAGTTGATTTTTTAAAACTTATATAAGGAAAAGATATTTCTTGTATATAATTTTAAGCCCATAATGATACTTCCTACCCCCTCCCTCTCTCCTGTGATTTTTAAAATGTTAAACCATAAAATTAAATTTTATCTTTAACTGACCAAATTGTACATATGCTGAATTTTTAAAGCATCTTTCTAGATTTTTTTCTCATATCATCTTTACTTCTTTTCTTCTTTCTCAATCTTTCCCTTCTCCTTCCCTTCCTCCCCCTCCTGCTTTGCTAGTACCTTTAGTTCATATATAGTCTGCTTTCTGGGTGACCCAGCACTGGTAAAGTCCAGAGAGTAGGGTGTCCAGGAAGTAGAGAAGAAGGCCAGATCCCAAGGATAAGTGCATCCTCAGGAGTGAAGTTGTAGAAAAGGCCTCCTGTTCCCCTGTCAGACTGTGATGGCAATTGCTTCCGCCATTAACTAGCGCATGCTGGCCAGTACATGATGAGCCCAGTGAAGCCAAAGCATGAAATTATGAAGCAAATCCGCCAACACTAGAGGCCATGATGGGTCAGCCTTGTAAGGAAACCAAATATAGGACCATCTACATGGTGTGGTCTGAAGGATGTCAAAATGACAACCTTACCCCAGGATATCGCTCCTAACATGAGGAGCTTGAATGATTTGCAGTCTTTCAGGATACTCTTTGCGAGCACAAACATCCTCAAGAAAATTTCATTTAAAATCCTCCGAGATAGTATGCAGGTACTTCAAACCATTCAAGAAAATGTGTACTATGATATACTTAATATACATAGAATCTCTACCCGTATGACCCCAGCAATAATCGATGATTCTTAAGGTAACATGTTCCACCCTTACCATCAAATTAGTTATCCTTTATCTGTGTGTACCCGAATAAACTTACATTGCAATTCCATTTCTCTGTCAACTTTTCGAAGTACTTCTGTGTATCTCAGTAGAGATTTAGTTTCCAAAAGTGACAGCTGATCAAGGGGGAAAGGTCACCCAAGTATTGGACAAGAAATAAAATGAAAAGATGGTGAATGTCATAAAGAGAGATGAAAGAGGGACAGGTGTTAACTTCTTCAGAACTGTGCATGTACAGACACTGCTTCCATGCCATTGTTGGACCCCAAACACGCACATGGAGAATTCTTGGTGAGCTTTCTAACTTCAAAGGAATTGGAAATTCCCAGTTCCCCAGTGCTATATTATAGGGTATTGTTGGTAATGAAAAAGTTTCAATGTGTACTCAGCGCATTATGGGTTAAATTTAAGCAAGTACTGCAAGCTCAAACGCAACCATAGGAATAACATGTTGAACAAAACAGACACCAGAGTGGGACTGCCCCCAAGGGGTAGCTGGGCATTGTGCCAGAGGCCTGTGGGGTAACCTGTCCTGTTGACTCTTTTCCAGGGTGGGAAGAGTGAGAGGAGCAGCCACAGTTGCTTAAAGATGAAGCCCAGTGAGCTCTGGGGACGAAGACCCCCCCCCCAGCAGAGACCTAAAATGTTTCAGATTGTACATTTACGAACAAAATAAAATTAGCATTCTTAGTGGAATGTACAAAGCAGAATTTCATCTCATTCAACCTTTTCCTTCACTCTCTCCCTAAGCTAACAATCAACATATGTAACTTATTAACATAACTGAGCATGAACATTTCTTAGTATTGCTCAATCTTTTTATATCTGCTACATGAACATATTTGTCTTTTCTCCTGAAATATTCATTTGCCCAGTTAACAAAACTTCATTTACTTAAAATGTTTTCATAACAATTCTAAAGGCTCATGAATTCCATCGTGTTGTGAGTGCAAGAAGAAGGATTAAAGCATAGGGAAACATGATGAGAGTTTGGATGTGATTACTTTCTCATTCTTACTTTCCTATTCTTACTTGACTAATTCAGGATATTAAAACCACTTTAGGCATTTTGACAAAAGTCAGTGTAGCTCTTTTTTTCCAGTCAAAAGAGAATAATTCTCTATATGTAGGCAGTTTGGAACTTGTACTTCAGGACGTTGAATTTGGTCTTTGCTCTTTAGTGGCAGGGAGAGAGGGAAGAAAGGTCCCTGTGTTTACCCACTGAATAAATATGCCTGTAGGCAAGGCACTACTCACTGCTTTAGTCCATGGACTTTTTAAACATCTACCTTGGCTGCTTCACAGTCCCCATGCTAATCAGCTCATCTTCCTGCTCAGGTGCCTCCAGTTCTGATACTACAGAATTATTTGGCAAACGAAACCATCCGTAACCCAGCCAAGAAGTAAAGATAAAAGCTCCTTAGTGGTGAAAAAAATCACTGCCACAAAATCGATGCACTGTAGATTTCTTCATATGAGAACCTTTGCTAGGTCCTTACAATTTTAGCAAGTTTACCGATCTGGTATTTCAATTCACAAATGATTAAAAAGAAAAAAAAATAATGAGGCTACTGTTACCGCAGCTTCTTCTTATTATTAACCTTTATTGGGTGTTACTAGCTTCCAGACACCGTGCTAAGCCTTTTACACACATTATTTCAGTAAATCTTTGTAAGAATAAAATTAAATACCATTAACAGCTCCATTTTACAGTTTCATAAACTGAGGTTTAAACTCTAACTTTAGAGGGACTAAGTAATTTGCCAAATTTGCATATACTTAGTTAAGACAAGTATATTGGAAGTAATGTGATGAGCTGTGTGACAGTTTTATAGCAAAGGAGTAGAAAATTACAAAAGAAAATGAAAATAAAGAAGTTGGAAAACGTGCAATTCAGAGGGTTTTTTAGTTGTTGTTTTTCTTTAATTTGGAGACCACCACTTTATATCTCTCAGTAGCTTTCAGAAGTCAATATGGTATTGCAACTAGCTAGCTTACGTAAGAGTGATCCCAATTCATTAAAACCTGGATTATTACCTTCACAGTAATCTTAAGAAGGTGTGAAGAAATGTAATGTATGCTGTCAATACTTCTCTGAGTTTTTTTATTTGGTAAAGTAACCATCAAGTGTTTGCTACAGTTTCTCAAAGGGAAGGAAGTCTTCATTTTTCTGAAGAATTTCCATAAGTAGAACATGTGAAGCCCTGATGATGGTGGTATATTTATATGTGGTATGTTTCTAAAAAGTAACATTGAAAGGGAGGAAGGGAATAAACTCAACTTGCAAAAGATTTGACTTTCTTTTTCAAAAGACTCTGCATGCAGATTCAGCTAGTCCTGTCTGGCAGTTTGCTGTGGTTTGGTCCTATTCCATCACCAGGGTTTATCCCATTTTGCTGACTAATGCAGAATGGACCATTCTTAAAGGAGAGTTTGGACCATGGCTGGCTTACGTGTGATTTGAAGCTGCCGACTATAACCTCCAATCCCAGCCCTTACTGGGATGAAAATAAGTGCCGTGAAGCCTTGCCTAAGATGGTCATATGGCCCATGCCCAGGGCATAACCGTAATCTGCCACAAGAAGAGGAAGTGAGATCCTGGAGATCCTGTGCAGGATCACTTCCCAAGAGACCAGCCCTTAATGAACTACCTGGGTGCTTCCCGGGGCATCAGAGGGGCTGGGCAGAGCCTACAAGTCCTGAGCCAGGGCATCCAGAAAGAGCATGGACCCTGCAAGACCGCTGCAAGTACTCATCAATAAAACAGGCATCCCCCACAGTCTCACTCAATTATAACTTGTCCATATCTGTCTATGGTAAAATTTCCAAGAAAAGTTTGCCAGGAAGGACCCCAGGGACTGAGTAGGTGGGCAGGAAAAGGGGCTGAGGTGCTGTAAGCTGCTCTCCGAGTGAGAATGAAACAATTGGCCCAGTGTGGGTAGAGTAAGGGTAGGTTATGTGAGACAGATATAAAAAAATCAAGCCCCAAACCACTGTGGTCATTCAGAAATGTTTGCAACTTTTCACAAGGGCAGTGGTATTACTCCTAATTTCCTGGCCAAATATTTATTAAAGGAACCAAGGACTGAGTACATGAGGCTGCCTCACACCAGCGCAGCATCCCACTTTCCTTGCGGCTCTGAACTGTGAGGTACTGTCAAAAAAACTTCTTCCACACTCGAAATAGCTGCGTTACAGAGGAGAGTTGGAACGTGTTCTGGGAGTGGGTGTGTTTGTTTGAGTTCAGTGTGTGCAGAAAAGGCAAGCCTCCACAGCCATTCACACACTTTCCTCCTCAGCGATGGGTACGCAGACAGCCGAGCTCCTGGACTAAGTCTCTGAATGGTAACGTACACTTATAAAGATTATTTTCTTAACTATTTTGAGGCATTTTATAAATAATATGCATGTGTCTGCTGAGCGCATATATATATATTTAGTCAACTTTTGCTTGCTTTTTCCTGAGGCTGGTCTTGTGTGGTTACTTATGTGGCATGATTTCTGAGGTGTCAGAAAGAGCTCCCCCCTACCTCCTACCCTAGTCACCCAGAAATATCTTTTGGGCTGGCCCACCACAGAGCCTAAAGTCCCCATATTGCTCAAACATTTGATTTAGTTCCTGAAAGCAGCTGTTAAAATCCACGTGTTACTTTGGGATCTTGGGCAGACATTAGAGATTAAAGACTACGTAAAACAGAAAAAATATGGAGAAATTGCTTCTGATAGAATGTTAAGTTTCAAAACTGAATGCACAATCAGGTGCTGTTCTTAAAATGCCACGGGGCCAGAGCCAGCATATATACCCCAGGTCATGAACATGCGCCTGTGCTAAAAGAACCCCAGCACTATTGGGCAGATTTTGTTCTGATTTATGTTACATAAATGCTTTGCACAGTTCTGATCCTCAGCTCGCACTCTTTTTACAGTGTATCTGACACTTCCCCTTACTGAGCTGCAGAGGCTCCCAGTGACCTCTTGGTAATCAGCCTTGGCGGGGCCCAAATCCCCACCCCTTGGAAAACTCACGGAGCCTGACGTCTGCCTGTGAGCGGCTTTCAGGAAAGACCTCACAAGCGCCCACCCAATCTCCCTTAGTAGCAAATTGCCAAACCAAGCCCATTTCCTCAAAAGATGGTAGAGGACTTAGCAGCCTCTTATATTGCTCTGAAATTAGAGAATGAAATTCTGCAGGCCCAAGTGCAGCGGTTGATGGAAGAAAATGCTGCCCTCCAGGCCCAGATCCCAGAGTTCCAGAAATCCCGAGCAGCCAAGGAAGATGAACAACTCCAAAAGCCCTCCGAGGCACAGGAGCCCCAGAAGTCCCCAGAGCTCTTGGGTTGCCCCGCAGCCTGGGAGTCCCAAGAGTCCCCAGAGATCAAGGAGCCCACAAAGCCCCTGGGTCCCCCCCCAGCCAGGGAGCCCCAGAAGCCCCCACAGACCAAGGAGCCCCAGGAGCCCACAAAGCTCCTGGGTTCCCCCGCAGCCCGGGAGCACCAAGAGTCCCCAGAGATCAAGGAGCCCCAGGAGCCCCCCGAATTCCTGGATGCCACAGCAGCCCGGGAGCCCCAAGAGCCCTCAGAGATCAAGGAGCCCACAGAGCCCCAGCAGCTCTCAGCTTGGGAGCCTGCAGCATCCCAGGAGCCCCAGGAGGCCCAGAAGCCCCTGGAATCTGCAGCAGCCCCAGAGTCTCTGGAGCCCCCAGCAACCCGGGACCTCCAGACACCTCCAGTATCCCGTGAGCTCACCACAGCCTGGGAGACCCAAGAGCCCCCAGATACCCAGGATACCCCAGAGGCCCAGGAGCCCCAGAATTCAGAGCCCCAGGAGTCCCCCAATACTGAGGAATCCCAGGAGGCCTCCGAATGCCAGGAGACCTCGGCACATCTGGAGCCCCTTGAGCTTCCCTCTCCCCAGGAGACCCTGCAACCTCGAGTGCCCCAAAAGCTCCTGGATCCCACAGAATCCCAGGAGTTCCTAGAATTCTCAGCAACCCCCCAATCTCTGGAGGGCCTAATAAATATGGAGACAGCAGCAGATTCGGGTTTCCCACAAGCCCTCAGTGGGTTAGAGGTTGCAGCTGTTCCACTAGAGTACCCTTTAGCCTTCAGCGGGGATGCCCAGAAGCTTCCTGAGTTTCTGATTCAACTGAGTAGTTACATGAGAGTCAGAGGGCACCTGTATCCCACTGAAGCAGCCCTAGTGAGCTTTGTGGGCAACCGCTTCTCAGGTGAGGCAGGAAGATGGTTCCAGCCCTTACTAGATATCCAAAGCCCTCTGCTGGAGCAATTTGAAAGTTTCATACAAGTGCTGCAGGATACTTTTGATGATCCAGAAAACATAGAAGATGCCAAGCACTGCATCCGTCAGCTCTGCCAAGGGGAGGACCCTGTCTACCGGTATGCAACCCACTTCCACCTCATTGCTCAAGAGTTGAGCTGGGATGAAAGCACTCTCTGCATCCAATTTCACGAAGGTCTTCCCAGTTCTATTCGAGATGAGCTGTCCCGCAGAAATTCAGCCACCAGCCTGTCAGATCTGATCACTCGCTGCATCAGCCTAGAAGAGAAGCTAAGTGGTAAGCCTGATCTCAACCCATCAGGGCAAAGCTCCTCTGAAGGTAGAGAGAGGCCTGAGCGTCCACCATCTGCAAATCAGCCTGCACAAGCTGCAAGCAACCGCCCACACCTCAGTGAAGCTGAACGGGCCCGTCGCCGCGAAGGCCACTTGTGTCTCTATTGCGGTCATCCTGGTCATTTTGCCAGAGATTGTCCTGTCAAGCCTCATCGTGCCCAGCAGGCGGGAAACATCGAGGCCCGGCGGTAAGGGGGATCCCGGGCGGGCCAATCTACAAATATGCGTCCCCCTCTCTTCCAATCTCCATGTCCCGTACCCTTTGGCTGACTGTTGAAATCCGACTAGGAAGACGACAGTTCTTTGAGCAAGCAATGGTGGATTCAGGCTCCTACAGAAATAGCATTGACCATTCTGTGGTTCTTCGAGAGAAGCTTCCCATTCGCAACAACATCTTTCCTCTCATGCTGGAAACCGTTGATGGTCGCCCATTGATTAATGGACCCGTAACCAAGGAAACACCACCTGTCGAAGTTAAAATCGGGAACCACGTCGAAGAGCTCCAGTTTGACATCATTCATGCACCACGATACCCTCTAATCCTTGGAATCCACTGGCTTGAAACCCACGACCCAAACATCGAGTGGAGTACTCGCACTGTGTCCTTTCCATCACGTTATTGTCACTACAATTGCTTCAGGCACAGGTGGAATAGAAGACGTCGTGATGAAATAATTGCTGGGTAGATCCTGTGTCCCAGTGACTGCTCCTGGCAACCTGTCTTCTGTTACCTCAGCTGTCATCAGCATTTGCTGCTCTCCGAATCTGCCACTGAACCTCTGGCTATGAACTAAGGCTACCTGTACAACGACCCTGCCTCTCGGATCATGGACTGTACCTGATGACTTTGTGCTGCTTTTTAATTTTTTTTTTACCAACCCTGCATGCCCCCCTCCCTGAACCCTGCAATATGTGGGGCCACTATAATTACAAAGTATACTAACACTATGCATGAAAATAGATATTAGAAACTAATACTTAGGAAATGTAGCTATTAGACTGACTTGATTTTTTTTCTAATCAAGATTTTGTTTATCACAAATATTGCAACTTTTTCATGAAGAAAATAAATTTGCAAGTGGTATTTTTAAATAATCAATAAACATTGGCAATTGTACTTGTGTTTCAATTATTTCTTAATGGAGGAGAGGGCATAAGAGGTTAGTAAATTGGGAGAGACGGGGAAATTAGAAAAGGCTCAAATTTGAGTGGGTCCTAACCTACTTCCAGGGGTATTTAAGGTCATCAGGTGATAAGCTAGGGGGAGGTGGAGAAAATAGAGAACTACTGGGGCTGGGATTGGGTGAGGTATGGGGAAAGAAGGAGGTAAGGTTGGGAGGAGGACTTGGGGGAGATTGGGAGGAGGTGGGAGAGGTTTGAGACGAGGATTGGGAAATCTGGGGGGTGTTGAGGGCATAGGTGGGGGAGGGGGAAATTCCTAAAAAACATAACAGGAGCACTGACAGAGACACTGAGCAGCTCTGAAGGCAAGTTTCTTGAACTTCACAAGTTAACCAAACAAAAGAAGAGCACTGGATCAGGAAATGGGACCCCCTCAGTGGCTCAATCTTCCCTATAAAATAACAAGGTCTTATTTTTGCTGCAAGGGAATTTTCCCTAGAGCTCATATCCATTAACCTACTGCTGCCAGTGTACAGGAACAAGGTGGCAGGAATCCATTTTTACACCTATGGGTTGTTAGTGGCCAATTGCACCTTTCCTACCCTCAAAAGTTTCTCTTTCCCTACTAGCTGCATGACACACCAGGAAAGTCAAGTCATGGGAGAGAACTTATGCCCTTGTGAGCCTCAGAGGGGCTTGTGTCCTGAAAAATCACACACACACACACACACACACACACAGGCAAAGTGTTGAGGAGACAAAGGTGGTGAGATCTCCAGGTAAGTGTGAAGAGTGTTCCAAGTAGACCCTGATGCCTTCCTCTGTGTTTGCAACTCTCCCTTGAGAGTACCTAGACAAATGATCAAATAAATGATTATAATCCCAGAAAAAAACGGGAGGAAATCACCATCCACATTGTAATTTTGCACACGTTAATTATCTCTTACTCCCCAGTACAAACCAGTAAACTATGTCTGTGTGCTCCTGTTTTATCAATGAGTCAATACTTTTGGCAAGGTTAATTCACTTTCCCAAAGCCACACAGCTAGTGAGTGGTAGACACCTGTTAGGCTTTGAGAGTCTGTACCATTTCTCCCATAGTTTACCAATCTCCGTGACGCAGTGGTGAGTGCCAAGCAGGACTGCTGCAGCAAAGAGCTATGTGGTCAACTTCAGGAACCATTTGTATAGTAGTTCTTTTCTCTAGTTCCCTTTATCTCATCTCCAGTCCCCTTGTCACCCTCCAAACTTCCTTTTTCATGTATTAGAAGATTTTCTTTTGTGTAACTAGTGGCACAGCCCCCTTTTCAAATTCAAATGGTGCTGTATTTTATGAGAATTGATGGTCTAGGAACAGTTAACTGTAGGATCTATGCATTACTTAAGAGCACCGCCCCTTGAATTGTCTGCCTAGCCACTTCCATAATCAATTCAAGTCCTGTGCAGCCTTAATTTCCACTTGGTCTTGACCCCACTTCCCCCCCCTTCCTTCCCTGAAGAGTCTAACATATTTTGGTATTATACACTACCTTAAGGTATGCGGGAGTCTTTCCCCAGTATATGCCCTTTATTCCTACCACCCCACCCCAACCCCACATATGTAGCATGGGTACAGGGACAGAATCATTTGGATCCCTACCATTGACATCATTGCCTAATGAGGTTCCTGGCACCTAAAAGTTTCTTCATAGTGACTGATTCAATGACATTTACTTATCATTAATCAGAGAGAGCAGCTAATTTGTACACTATGCTTCTTGGTTTTTTTCCCTACTCAGTTACTCACCTCTACTCCCAAGACCAAACAGTTTGTCAATAAGAAATTCAAGAGAAAAAATATGTAAGCTGCTACAAAATAAAAAATGCCTCTTACTGATCAAGCTTCTCTGGAGCTAGGATCAAATGTGTTAATCTCCCCAGGACTGGGGGAATTCATAGAACACAGGGCTCTCCATGCTAAAACTGGGACAGTTCTCAGGAAGCTGAGATGGATGGTCAGCCTACATGGACCCTAAACTTTTCTAACTGTAGAGGCTTATTTACCAGAGCACAATTCTTTATGTCACAAACAGGATCAAGTATCTAATTATAGAATCATAGACTTTGTGACTTGAAAAAGACCCAAGTGTATTCCCTTAGTTTAATGGATGATGGAGCTGAGGAGGCCCAGAGAAAAGAAAATTACTTAACATAGCTCAGTGTCATCCTGCTCTCCTAACTCCAAGTCCAGTGCTCTCATTTAACCATGAAACTGTTTTAATCCAATAGTTACAAATCCAGTCTGTGAACAGCACTGAGTTCAATACTGGGAACAGTGTCTAAAGTACAACGTGAAAGGTTTATAATGTGATCAAGGAGAAAAAAATAGAGCTAACACAGATAATCGAATTCTAATTCTGTGATAACAAACACACCAAACTGAAAAGTACCAGCTGATAAGATTGACAACTTTCATTTAATGAGCATTTTTTAAATTTTTATTTTTATTTTATTTGAGAGAGAGAGAGAACCTCCATATACTGGTTCACTTCCCACAAATGTTTGCAACAAGCCAGAGTTGGACCAGGCTGAAGCCAGGAGCCCAGAACTCAATCTAGGTTTCCCACACTGGTGACAGGGACCAAAGTACCTGAACCATCTCCAGCTTCCTACAAGAGTGGACATCAGCAGAACGCTGGATCAGAAGGAAAGGAGGCAGATCTCAAACCAGCCACTCCAGTATAGGATGCAGGCATCCCAAGTGGCACCTTAAACCACTACACCTAATGCTCACTGCAATTTAATAAGCATTTGCTTTGTGCCAGACATTGTGCTGGGTAATTGGGGTCTTTTCAAGTATCTACAAGGTAAATACTATATTAGCCCCAAATCAAATAATTACAGCTGGGGTGGGCAGTTGGTATAACTGTTAAGATACTGGTGAGGATCCCCACGTTCCACATCAGAGTGCCTGGGTTCAGCTTCTGTCTCCAGCTCCTGATTCTAGCCTCCTACTAATGCAAACGCTGCAAGAAAGCAGTGATGGGTCAAGTACTCAAGTACTTGAGTTCCTGTCAGTCATGTAGGAGACCTAGATTGACTTCCCAGCTCCTGGCTCTGGCACCCTGACCATTGCAGCCACTTGGGGTGTGACCAGTGGATAGGGATCCCTCTCTCCCTCCTTCTCCCTCTGAAATTAATTAATTATTTTTTAAAAAAAGAATTGAAGCCCACTAAAGTGAAGTCACCTGTCACAGGTCACTTTGCTAGAACTAGTGGATTCTTTTTTTTATTTGACAGATAGAGTTAGACAGTGAGAGAGAGAGACAGAGAGAAAGGTCTTCCTTCTGTTGGTTCACTCCCCAAATGGCCACCACGGCTGGAGCTACACAGATCCAAAGCCAGGAACCAGGTGCCTCCTCCTGGTCTCCCATACGGGTATAGGGGCCCAAGCACCTGGGCCATCCTCCACTGCCTTCCCGGGCCACAGCAGAAAGCTGGACGGGAAGAGGAGCAACCGGGACTAGAACCCAGTGCCCGTATGGGATGCCGGCACCGCAGGTGAAGGATTAACCAAGTGAGCCATGGCGCCGGCCCAAGAACTAGTGGATTCTAAATTAAAACCATGACCTGTCTCACTCCAAAGCTGGGGTTCCATCCAGTGTTCTGGGGTTCTATGCATTGATTCTCATTGCTTTACTCTTCATTAACCCTCTTTATAACAATCAGTCCCTAGACATGAATTATAGCATCAAGGTAAAATATATTAATTTGTTAAATAATTCATTCATTCATTTTTTTAATTCAACAAGCATTTATTGAATGCCTTCCACACAACAGGCACAGGCCATGGTGAGGAAAGGAGAAAACAGAGAGGAAAAGTGGTAGAAATATATCTAAAGTATGACTCATGGTTCTTGGTCTGACCACAATTTAACAAGGGAAGCTGTTTTAACACAGTACTGTGATATCCAGACATAGCTGTAATTCTGCTAGGGACTGAAGGAATGCATTTTGATCTAGGCCTTGGAGGAAGCTCATTGTAGGTTCAGTGAAGTACAAATAAAAAGGCAAGCTGGAGTGGAAAAGTACAGGGCCTTGAGCAAAGACAGTTCTGTGAGAATAAGTGTGTGTGTGTGTGTGTGTGTGTGCGCACGCGCATGTTTGTAGAATGAGGTGTCAGTAGACGCTTATCAAGAAAATTGGAAATCTGTGGTTAAAGACCCAATCTATCTGGCTAAGGAGGGCAAACTTTATCCTGTGGGTGATTTAGATGAGGATCGTTGTTTTTCCTGTCTTTCTTCATTTTTAGATTTGCCTGTGTTTTCTTCTCCTGCTATAAAGTAAGGCACAACAAATTGCAACTGAAGCAAATTCAAATTTATCAGTAATTTATAGCATAAAGAGTAGAAGATTCCCCTTTCTTCCTGTCCCCTATCTCATAAAACTAGGAGATTCTCAAGTAGGAGAGAAACATGATTATTTATGTTTTAGTAGTTTGATAGTGATATGGAAATGACAAGAGACAAAATGGCAAAGTGCCCTCATTCTGTTAAACCTGCTTAGACTTTATGAAGATGGGTTTGAATCATCAGAGGCAAAGAATTAAAAGTAAATTAAGCTCAAATTTTCCTCAAATATTTGTTGTGGGCTTAATATGTGCAAGGCTTTGAAGCCCACATAAACAGAGGTAGGACAATCAAGAATTTTACAATCTAATAACAAACAAAATCTCGTGAATTATTTTAAAAGCTACTTTTTCATTTGGGCCTTTTCACTTTGAAATTGTAAAAAAAAAAACTCTCTAAATGAAGAGGGTTTTTTTTTACTAAAATAAATATTTTGTAATATTTGACACAGGTGAAAAGAAAACAGTTATGTCTTTAGCAAACTTTTGTAAGTTTAAACTTTAACAAAAAAGTATACACACACACTTATAGCAACCTTCATTCCTGTTTTCTAAAAATATGAAATATTTCATATTACATGATGTTGAACTGTACCTGAAATAGTCAT